CTCTGCCTCCTGAGTTCAAGGAATTATGCTGCCTCAGCCTCCTGAGTAGCTGGGACTACACGCACGTACCAGCACACCCAGCTAATTTTTATATTTTCAGGAGAGATGGGGTTTCACCATGTTGACCAGGACCAAGATGGTCTCAAATTCCTGGCCTCAAGTAATCTGCCCGCCTCAGCCTCCCAGAGTGTTAGCACTGATTACAGGTGTAAGACACTGTGCCAGCCCTCCACTGACGGGTGTTTTGAAGGGCTCCTCCTGGATTTCACTGAGAATCAATACAAGAAAATGGCCATATCAAGAAAGTACCTGCATTTTTTGTAAGGCCTTTGTTAAAAAAATCTTGTTTTATCTCATTTTCCGCATATGAGGATCCAATCCAACCTCCTCTGAAAATTCAGCACCAGAATCCTGGAAGCTCACTACACTCATTCTGTCTGGAAAGCAGAAAGCTCCGCCCCAAGTGAATGCTCACTCACTGCCACTTTCAAGTGAGAAGTCGAGAATGACAAATATGATTTGTCATTATTATATAGATCTTGCTAGCACTGTATTTATGGCTGGATGGTCTTGTGAGACCCTGGGGACACAGCTGCTAAAGGACCAACCCCTGTGGCAGCAGGACCCAGGATGTGGGGTCAAGATTTTGCCTACAGAAGCCAATCCAAGGGCTATCCTCCAGGCTTCTCATTCAGGGCATGCACGGCCTGAGACATAAGGGCCACAAAAAGCCACAAAGCAAACATGAGTGTCTTCCTCAATAAGCAGGACTTTCTGTCTGTGGCACACTGTAGTTTCTCTCAGGTGGAGAATTCATTTTATTTATTCTGTTCAGAACTTGCTCCATTTCCAAATCTGAGATTTTTTTCACCTTCTGGTAAGCCTGTTAACTCCCTCTTGACAACTGCCCTGCAGCATATCCTTTTGGGGGGACTCCTCCCTCTTGCCTCATCTTCAGCTGCACCTTCTCACCTCTGTGGCACTTTGGCCAATTCTGTAGACGGAATGTTCTTTTCAGCTGGCTCTGATCTGCTCCCTGAAATGCTTGCTGACTTTTAAACTGAAATCATTATTTTTCTTTTCTGAAAGTATTTTTTCTTGGTTCATTTCCAAATCTGTCTGGTCTTTTTTGATGGTTTATTGTTCTTTTTTGTGAGATATAATACACATAACATAAACTTCACCACTTTATAGAATTTATTAGCCTTTAGTATATTCATAAGGTTATGAAACCATCACCACTGTCTAATGCCAGAACATTTTCATAATTCCAAAAAGAAACTGTATCCATTGGTAATCACTCCTTATCCTCCCTCCCTCAGCCCCTGTCAATCACTATTATTCCACTTTCTTTCTCTATGGATTTTCCATTCTGGATATTTCCTGTCAATGGAATCATACAACCTATGATCCTTTGTGACTGGCTTCTTTCTCTTAGCATAATGCCTTTAAGGTTTATCGTTATTGTAGCACGTGTAAATATTCCATTCCTCTTATTGCTGAATAATATTCTATTGTATGGATAGACCATATTTTGTTTATCTATTCATCAGCTGATGGACCTTTGGGCTGTTTCCACTTTTTGGTTACTATGTACAGATGTGAACATTTATGTATGAGTTATTGGATGGATATACATTTTCAATTATCTTGGGTATGTATCTAGGTGTAGGAACTGCTGGGTGAGATGATAACTCTATATTTCACCATTTGGGGAATTTCCAGACTGTTTCCCAAAGGTGCTGAAAGACTTTACATTACCATCAGCAGTCTATGAGTGCTTAAATTTCTCCCTATCCTCACCAACAGTTCTTATTATCTGACTATCTGATCTTTTAATCACAGATCTCCAAATGGGTATGAAGTATTAGTTTTGCTTTGTATTTCCCTGATGGCTAGTGATGTTGATTGTCTTTTTATGTGCTTATGATTTGTATATATTCTCTGCAGAAATTTCTATTCAGATCTTTTGCTCATTTTAAAACTGTGTTATTAGTCTTTTTATTGTTGAACTGTACAAGTTCTTTATATAATTTGAATTCTGGACCTGAGATAAAGTTTTTCTCTTTTGCCCAGGCTGGAGTGAAGTGGCGTGATCTCTGCTCACTGCAACCTCTGCCCGCAGAGTTCAAGCGATTCTCCTGCTTCAGCCTACCAAGTAAATGGGATTACAGGCGCTCGCTACGACACCTGGCTAATTTTTGTATTTTTAGTAGAGATGGGGTTTTACCACGTTGGCCAGGCTGGTCTCCAACTCCTGACCTCAGATGATCCGCCCACCTTGGCCTCCTAAAGTTTTAGGATTACAGGCATGAGCCACCGTGCCTGGCCAAGCTTTTAATTTTTAAAATGTTTTGTAGAGATAAAGTCTTGCCATGTTGCTCAGGCTGGTCTTGAATTCCTGGCCTTAGTGCTAGAATTATAAGCATGAGTCATTGTGTCCAGTCAAAAGTTTTAAATTTTGATGAAGTCCAATTTATTGATTCTTTCCTTTAGTTGCTTATGCATTAGGTGTCATATCTAAGAAACTGTTCCCTAATCTAAGGTCACATAGATTTCTATCTATATTTTCTTCTAAGAGTTTTATAGTTATGCTCTGACATTTAGTCCTTTGATCCTTTTAATTTTTATTTATAGAATAGAATATTTAATCTTTCCTCACATTTTGTTTTAGCTTTCATGTCTTTCAAGACTTAAGCATATTTTATAGCACCCTCTGACAATTCTGTGATAACAGGTTTATAGGAACCTAAGTCTCTCAGTGAGTACATCTCCTGACATTTGTGTACGGTAGACTGTTTCTTCTTGTGATTTTAGATTTTATGTTCATCTAAGCAGTGCTTTATCCGTGGTAATGCTGTACACCCTGGGCCAGGGAATGCCCCTGCTGGGTGGATACGCATCTCTGCCAAGTGCCTCTGGATGTCAAGTAGACCAGGGTCTCCTTTGTTTCATTTCTCAGCTTGGTGATTTCTAGACAACACAGGTAGTGTTAAACTGGCCCTGAATCCACATGAGGGCAGGCCTGTGGTTACACAGCCTCAAGGGAAGACTGTTCTCCTAACCCCAAAACAGGCTAAGACATTCCAATTTCTCTGCTAGTTCTTGAGCTGCCAGCTGGGTTTTCCTAGTGTCTGCCTCAGTCCTTTTTTAAGCAGCTTGACTTTATGCTGGTGACTTAATTCCAACCCCTTAGACCCGAAGCTTTGTCTCAACTCAGTGTAAGACATTAGACCCCAAGCTTTGTCTCAACTCAGTATGAGACATTAATGCAAGGTCCTCAGTCAAGACCCCCAGCTTTGCACCCATGGGGCAGTCCTGGCTGCTACTCTGGCTTTTTTGTTCATTCTTAGATTTTAGATTCTAGGGACTGCCCTTTCTTGTGAACTAGTCATTCATTTTAGGGACAAGAATTGCATTTAATCCAGTACTTCAAAGTATTTTAGAAGCAGGGAGGCTGAGGTGGGTGGATCACCTGAGGTCATGAGTTCAAGACCAGCCTGGGCAACTGGTGAAACCCCGTCTCTATTAAAAATACAAAAAATTAGCCAGGTATGGTGGTGGGCACCTGTAATCTCAGCTACTTGGGAGGCTGAGGCAGGAGACTCGATAGAACCTGGGAGGCAAAGGTTGCAGTGAGTAGAGTAGCTAGAACTATAGGCATGTCCCACGACACCTGGATAATTTTTCTGGTAGAGATAGGGGTCTCACTATGTTGTAAAGGCTGGTCTCAAACTCCTTGCCTCAAGCAATTCTCCTGCCCTGGTCTCCCAAAGCATTGGGATTACAAGCATGAGCTACCACACATGGCCTGCACTGAACTTTTAATTACTAAACAAGCATGATTAGATCACAACAGAGTAGACTACAAGATTTCACACCAAGTTTATAGATACAGCATCAAACTTTCAGAAAGAATCCTCCCATGGTAGCTTCCAGGAACTGTTTTCCAAGGAGAATAAATCCTGTCCAGACATGCAGCTTTGGACAGGGCTTCTCATAAGCAAAGCCCCAGAGACAGCATGCTATAGCTTTAGCTCCAAATCACCATCTACTGCAAAAACAGATCAAATACAAATGCTCCTTTTATTGGGCACCTGCTGGCTGTGTGGCTACTGCAAGTTTCTGACCAGTGACCTTGCACCTGGCTGATGGTAGCACAGGCTAGGGTATGTATGCCTACGGCTGCCGAGCCCTATGAACCTTGCACTGGGACGCAACTCTTAAGGGACTGCTCTTAAGTCCCAAAAGGCCAGCCTACATCTACCTCTCTTCTCCTAGGCTCTGACTCACTGGGATGTGAACTGGGCTCCTTGTTGTGACAAGCTTGGAGGAAGGGGCCCTCTCAGGAGGCAGAGAACTTCAGTGCCAATGGCAGAGGCTGTGAAGATTCACTCTGGCCACCTCAGGAGGATGCACTACCGCAAACTCTAAGAAATAAAGAACCACAGTGTGCATGATGTCACAGCTGTGTTTGAGGGGAGGCCCAGGGAATGAACAAGCAGCATAGTGTCCACGAGAGCTCAGAAGCCAATATGACTTGACAAAGACCTCATCTACATCATTTTTTATTGCAGCTCTCTACCTCTGGTCAGTTTCTCAGTGGAAGGCCATCACTTCCAAGGTGTACCAATATAAGAGCCTTCCACCTCTCCAACTAATCTCTTGCCCTCTTCCAGGCAAACTCTGGGCTCTATCCAAATACCATTATTCTCAGTCCAGCCTCTGCACTGACCAATTCTTGTGTCTTTGCCCTTGTGGTTCTTGTGCTGTGTCTTCCCCCACAGCTTCCAGCCACCTTCCCACTTGAAGCAGCCACTCCTTTCTCCTCGGAGCTGGCAGCTCACTAAGGGCTCTGCAGTCTTGCTCCCAATGCATTGAGAGGCTAGAGTCTTTTCCCCAACAGGAAGGCAGGCTGCTTGGTAGGAACATTGCCAGTGTGCTGTTGACTAATGCCTGCACCCTCCCTGGCCCTTCAGGGTGCTGCAGCTACCACCTACCTTTCCATGGCTGTTGGGGTCACACTGGTCAGGGCAGGAGCACCTGGCGTGGCTTTGGACCGCTCTGTGAACCGGGAGTCAAGCGCTTTCATGGGTTCAATCTTGGACGGGGTCGTTAACACAGAAGGTGACAATGCAGCAGGAGTAGAGGTAGCATTCATACTGGGGTGAAGAAGAGGGGAGGCATGTCAAGCACAATCCTAAAAGGATCTGGAGGTCTAGTATTTGCATTATTTGGAGACTACTAAAAAAGGCACAAACATCAAACTTTCATAAACACAAAAAAATTTCAAGATATAATCTACTATTCCCATTTCTTTAAAATGTTCATGTGTTAAAATTCTGGACACCTAGAAAGTTTTGAGCGAATGCATTCACATCTCCCCCTTTGCATTGTTTTGACAGCTTTTAGGGGTAGCACGAGGCCTAGAACATGGTTCTTACAACACTTTTCTCTAGTCATATTACCCTATCTCCACAACTTGAATATAGCACCTCTACTCCAAACCACTCCAACCACTCACATTTCCCACTTAGAAAATGAGCCTCATGAGATAAGCCTGCACCTGGGGTCCTGAAACCATGGTCTGCTCCTGGCCTTTACTCTCAGCCAGGTATCCTCCAGCCTGGGTGCCCCTCCCATCTCTCCCTGTAACAGTGTCACATACTTAGCATTATGCTCCAACTACTCATCACACAGCTTGCGTCTTCTATTCCACAGATAAAGGAGAGGCCAGGCAGGAGCCTGCCTGGTCCATCCTCCATGGCCAAGCCCACACCACAAGCTGGGACCAAGGCCACTGGGCCTCCTCCTGTGCACACCCAGGCTAACACCTTCCACTCACATCTGCCCAGACCCTATACCACATGCCTGGTAGTCACCCTGGACACCCCCTTTATCCTCCTCTATGACCTGTGGCCACTAGAATAGGCCATCCCCAAAGAAGTTCTCAGATAATGGCATGGTCTGTCCTTCCCAGGCCCCCTTCCTCACAGGATGCTCTGCTTCCTCACTGGTCTTCCTGCTCAGTCTTCTCTTCTTACCCTCTGAGGGTTCCCTCAGGGCAGTGACCTAATGTTTGGCCATGCCTCCACAGCCATGTGCTAGCACCCAGAAGTAGAAGGCTATAGTAACACAAGACTCCATTACACCAGTGAAGAATCACTCTGATGGAATCAGCTGTATGTGCCAGGGAGTGGCTAATTTGGGGCATCACTTTCATAAAATGGAGGTCTCAAAACCTTCTATGTCTCCACTCTGGGGAAAAGCCCAGACTACTTGGTCCAGCATAGACACCTAGGCCTTCTCCCCCGTTTTGGCCTTCCTCAGGGGATTGGGGGGCTGCTATCCCTAATCCCCATGCCACATCCCCTGGTGGGCCTGTATGAGCCGTGCGCAGGGCACCCTCTGAGGCACCTCCCTGATCCCTGAGACACCAGGCCCTCTTCAGATAGCTAGCCATTTCTACCCAGGGGATCTGGGGGGCCACCTGCAACCCTGTGGCTGCCTCTCCCCAACCAGCCTACATACTCTGAGGGTGAGGACCCGCCAATTAAGCCCCTGCAATGCCTGGGGCCTAGCACGGCATGTAACCCAAAGGAAGTGCTAGGCAAATGTTCACTCCTGGCTTTCATTCGTGCTTGACTGTTTTTTTCTGATTTCTAATTTTGTTACAAGTAAAGAGGGGTGATGACTCAAGCTCTCTGAGTGAATATAATTCTGAGAGTATGAGGGGAGTCTGTGACCTCCCACAGGAGCACCCTATCTGGGATGAATGCTGTGTGATGTGCCCAGCAGAGTGAAGTGGACGCTGAGGCCCCAGAAATGTCAAGTACTTCCAGTGTAGAGCTGCCAGGAGGTGGGACGGATCCTGCTGCATGTAGCACTGCACAGGTAGTTCCCACCCGTAGCAGCCTGACCCTCAGTCAGCCTTGATACACTCTTTGTGAAATCCTCATGGTCCTGTGCATCAGAGACTCACTAAGCAAGTCCTCCCCTCTGAGAAGTCCTCATTTCATATCACACCACACACTTTTTTCTTCCTTTATTCATTGAAGGGGCCACAAAGTACAGAGTAAAATTCTCTATCCCCAAAATTATGTGCAAACCTGAACTCTCCCCAGGAAAGGGAACAAGCCTTGGCACCCACTAACCTGTCCTTATTGACAGAATCGCCCGCAGGTCTGGCACTGGCAGCCACCACAGGCTCTGTACAAGGCTTCGAGGCGCCGAAGGAGTTAGGGGTACTGGAGTCCAGTGGCAGTAGCTGTGGACTGCTATGAGAAGAGAGCATGGTACCCGCCAGGGAGCCCGAGAGGGGGATGCTGTTAAAGAATGCCGTGGAGAAGTCCCTGTCATCAAGTAAGAACAAAAGTCAGCCTTGAAAGTCAGGTGCCACATCCAGTAATTTATACATTCAAATAACTTTCTTTCTAGGTCCAAAGGCAATGTTTTCATGATAGAAAATCTGCAAAGTTACAGAAAAGTAAAAAGAAATTTAAACCCATTTAATATACTATATTTAATTGAATCTAGGATTTACAGGTTCTCTATGTACTACTAAGAAAGAAAACAATGCTGCTACTTGTCAGATGCCACTGATTGTACAACACACCCTAATCTCAGAGGTGTTAAACTATGCAAACACATGTCGTAGGAGCTGCTGTACCAGGATGTAAGGTATTGCAGTGTCAAAACTAAGGATTCTGGGACAAACCAGCCAGGTCTGACTCCTCTGCCATTTGCAAGCTTGTGACTTGTTCCAACTACTCTTGTCTGCAAAATGCAAAGTGCCAGGACTCTCCCCATGGGGTTGCTATCAGGACTAAAGTAGTTAGTGTAGGACACTCTTCGAACACATATTGGGTGCTCAAAGAATTATGAAATTCTAATAATTGTCATTACCCCTAAGATTCACATAATACATGGGATAAATTCCTGGAAGTAGAATTGTAGCAGCAAATGGAATCTTCACTGATGATTTGGAATAAATATTTCTAAAGTGCCCTCCTTAGAGGTTTAAATTACAAGGCATGTATAAGGGTGCCTATTTCCCCACATAGGCACTTGGTAACACTTTTATCAAATTTCTTGACACGTAATAATCTGAAAGTTGAAAAATGGTATCTTACTTTAACTTTGATATGAGTGATATTGACATTTTTTCAAATCGAAATACTTGATTTCCAGCCGGGCACAGGGGCTCACGCCTGTAATCCTACCACTCTGGGAAGCCGAGGCAGGTGGATCACTTGAGGTCAGCAGTTCGAGACCAGCCTGGCCAACATGGTGAAACCCCGTCTCCACTTAAAATACAAAAATTATCCGGGCATGGTGGTGGGCACCTGTAATCCCAGCTACTCGGGAGGCTAAAGCAGAAATCTCATGAACCTGGGAGGCGGAGGTTGCAGTGAGCCAAGATCATGCCTTAATTAAAAAAAAAATATATATATATATATATATATATATATATATATATATATATATATATAAGTTCTGGTAGGGCTAGTCTACCCTGATTAATCTTCTTTTTCAGAAATATTTCAGTCATTCCTATTTGTTTTTCCACATAACTTTATTTTATTTATTGATTGACATGACGTCTCACTCTGTCACCCAGGCTGGAGTGCAGCGGCACAATCTTGGCTCACTGCAACCTCCCAGGTTCAAGCAATTCTCCTGCCTCAGCCTCCAAGTAGCTGAGACTACAGACACACACCACCATTCCCAGCTACTTTTTATATTTTTAGTAGAGATGGGGTTTCAACCATGTTGGCCAGGCTGGTCTCAAACCCCTGATCTCAGGTGATCTGCCCACCTCGGCCACCCTAAGTGCTGGGAATACAGGCATGAGCCACTGTGCCTGGTGGATTTTTCCACATAACTTTATAGAGTTACCTTGTCTGATTCCAAAAATTCCTATGGTTATTTGTACTGGTTAAATCAGCTACAGGACAGCTCACATCTTTATGATGCCATCCTAGCTAATCAATGGCATGAATTTCTAGTTACTTCTTTTGAGTTTTCCTTGAGGCCTCTCAGTAGGGTTTTTAATTTTTTCTTCATTAAGATCTATATCTCTGGTTGCATCCTAAGTCTTTTATTTGTGAATATGACATTTCTTTATGGGCTCTGAGTGTAGTTGGTGCTACCTGACTTCATGTTGATTGTATCCAGCCATGTGACTGTCTTCTTTCATTGCCTATGGCAGTTTTTCCAAATAATTCTCTTACAAATTACATCATCCTTAAATAATTATCCTTTCTAATTTGCTCTTTCCCTTGACTAACTACACAGGCTAGAACCTATAGAGCAATGTTAAATTATAATTCCAAGAGTAGGCATTTATTTAGTTTTTGAACTTAATTTGAAATAATTTATCGAGTTAAGGAAGCATCCACCTACTCCCATTTAACTGAGTTTTAAAACAAAATGGCATTGAATTTTACCAAAATGCCTGTTAAGCATTGATAAAAGAGATCATATAATTTTTTTCTTTTGATCTACTGATATGTGGAACTAAATAGTTACCTAAAATTTGAACCTCCTTACTTTCCAGAAACAAACCTCACTTGATCATGGTATATTAGCCTTTTAACATGCAGTAAGGTTCTGCTTGTTACTATTTTACTTAGGTTTTGCATTGACATTCAGAAATGAGACTGATCTGGGATTTATGATGTTTTATCCTTGTTAGATTTTGGTGTAAATATTATGTTCATTTCAAAATAAAAATCTGCACATTTCTTCTCCATGAACTAGAATATTTAAAATGGTATTAACAGTTACCTGTTCCTTAAAAGTTCCTGAGGTTTCCCTGTGAAGCAGTCTAACTGTGGTGACTTTGGTGGGGTTAACTCTGTGACACTGTCCTCTATCTCTTCTACAACAATTTTTTACTTTCATTAATTTTATTTTCTTTAAAAACCATCCACTTTATGAAGTTCAGCAAATAGTTTCTCAACTTTTTTGTCTGCTATTATTTCTCACTTACACCTGCTTTGCATATTTAAGCTTTTCTTTTCTTTCTTGATTTAGCTCAGCTAATAAGGACCTATTCTGTTGCTACTTGTTAGAACGTGGGAATCAGGAGGCCAAAAAGCTTTTAACACTAAAGGGATCCGGTCCTGGTGCCAGAAATATGCATCCTATGTCAGAAAGTTGGCCCCAGACCAGCTAGAAAGCCATCTACATCTTCTCACCAGGTAAGGCCTAGAATGATCCACAGTACAAAGTGTCACCATCACCACCTCCCTGTCCCTCAGACCCAGTGTGTTCAGAGCTCAGACCCACATCGGGTCTCATTTGGTCCTAGTAAAAGGTAGGCAGGGGCATTACCTCCTATAGGGTCACAATAGGAAAAAGACTTAGTCAAAAGAAAATGACTGCTCTGGGGGAGTCAGTAGACCTCGTCTGGCTCTACTCGCAGGGACCTCAGAGCCTGCACACCTAAGACAAGGAGATGGATCTGTACACTGTACAAGTGAAGGTTTGTTCAGGAAGATTTGGAATAGCTCATGGATAGACAACTGCTAAACGCAGAGGCCTGGATGTGTGTAGTTTCCATGAAGGGCTTACTGATGCCCTGAGCAGATCAGTGGTATGAAAATAAAACCCAGAGTGTGAACTGCCTTGACAGTGGGGGTCTATTTTTTTCACCCAGGGCCTAATCATTTTTCTTTCCTTTTTTTTTTTTTTTTTTTTTGAATCAACACACATCATTTTGGGGAGAATAACCATTCAAAAACAATCTGCACTGATATACTCAGACAACAGCAAGTGGTGAATGAGTTTCTTCCCCCATCTCTGTCCCTCAAAGGGAAATGTGTTTCAGAGCCCTACCCTCTGCCCAATAATTCCATTTCTACAAGTTATCCTGAGAGAACAACCACAGGTGAGCTCAAAGACTCATTTACAATCACAAGAAACTGGACACAAATACAAGTCCACAATGAGCTGGCTAAGCAAATCCTAGGACGGGAACCTGGATAATCAGATAGCAAATGCTTCAGAGGACTAGTTATTAAAATGGATGAATAGGCAAGAAACAGTGACAAGTGAGGAAAAAAAGACTGGAAATAGAGATATCAAATACAGTGACTATACTGGAGAGACTGGATTATGGATTTGTTTTTTTCCTTTGGACTTTTACTATTTTCTAAATTTAACACGTGTAAACATACCTTTCATAATAAAAAAAAAAATAACATTATGAAAGACAAAAAATATCAGCCTGATTGCTTTCCCTGTGTGTCCTCTGGTGCCCTGGCAACAGTGAAGTGCAGCAGACGTGCCTAGCCCTCCCACCCACCACATGATTCAGGTGTGCACAAGGGCTCCAGGAGGAGTGTGGGCTTTGCGACTATAGGAAGCTGGGCTCAACTTCCTTGCTTCCACATTCTACCAGTCAGGTTGTGAAGGGCCTTTGAAGATCCTCACTGTGAAAGCATTAACTGCTAAAAGAAGACAGGAAGACCTCGCTAGATAAAATCATAAAAGCGGAATGAACCAGTACCCAGTGTCCAGCTGTGCTATGCAGAGAGGTGTGATTCTTCTCCGACCATCTGCCGTCCGAGTCTCAACTTGCTTCTTCAAAAGATTCTGGCAAAGCAGAGTTACATAAATGCAAAGTTTCTGCCGACTATTTCCAAATAAAAAATAAAGTTTCTTTTTTTCCTGGTGATAACAACACTTACCATAAGATCTATCCAATTAGCGAGGTTTTAAGTGTGCAGTATTGTATTGTGAACTATAGGCACTATGCTGTAGGCGAGATCACTAGGACTTATTCATCTTCTATACCTTAAACGTTATACTCTTTGGCTAATAACTCCATTTTCCTCTGACCCCAGTATTCACCATTCTATTATCTGCCTCTGTGAGTCTGACTATTTTAGATTCCTCATATAAGATGAATATCATGCAGTACTTGTCTTTCTGTATCTGGGTTATCATTACTTTGTACACATTAAGTATGTGTAACTTTTTATATGCCAATTATACCTCAACACAGTAGGTTTAAAAATAATAAGGCTTCTAAGGAAATATATTCTAAATTCCCCTTCTAAGCCCTTTTGGTACAACTAAACTAGCCACCTAAGCAAAGAACAAGCCGTGGGCACATGCTGCACTGGCCGCCCCGCACAACAGCCATGGGGCCAATGAAGGGGCTCAAGGACTGAGCCCTGCGCCCGTAGCCACGTCTGTCACTGAGCTAAGGATTTTCTTTATCTTTTTTTTTTTTTTTGAGATGGAATCTCATTCTGTCGCCCACGCTGAGTGCAGTGGCGCAATCTCGGCTCACTGTAACCTGCGCCTCCTGGGTTTAAGCAATTCTCCTGCTCAGCCCCCCCATGTAGCTGGGACTACAGGCATGCGCCACCATGCTCAGCTAATTTTTTTTTTTTTTAAGTAGAGACAGGATTTCACCATGTTGGTAGGGCTGGTTTGGAACTCCTGACATCAAGTGATCCATTCGCCTCGGCATCCCAAAATGCTGGGATTACAGGTGTAAGTCACTGCACCTGGCCTGAGATAGCGATTTTCAAACTGACTTTCAAAATAGAATCCTTTCTTCCACAGAAATCTCATAACTAGGGGTTTTCTCTCATACTTTATATCTTAATTGCCTGGAGGAGTTTTGTCAGCCTACATATGGTCCTGGAGATAGTTTATATACACCAGGCAATAACGTTCCTTACCCTTTTCCAATCCCTTTTCATGAAACATGGCTTCCAGATGAAGAAGGGGAGCCCACAGAAGTCTCCTTAGGTCAGAGCCTGAAATCCACTATTCTTAGTATCTAGGATTTCCTAGAAAGGCAGGCAGGCTAAAGTTTGTAAGTTCTTACAAGAGATGACCTCCTCTGGGCTCCTGGGTATATAGTGGCCTTTGACAAAGGGGATCCAGGCCCCATTACTATGTCATACAGTGGTGGGCAAGGAGCCAACAAGCCCAAGGCTGGCTAACCCACAAATCCCATGCCACACTAAGCAGACGCCCTCTTTACCACCACTGGTGTCTGCCCCTCACCCTGTCCCCTGGTCATGTGTCTATGTCTTTAGTACCACCAGGCAGGGCTCTCACCTTCCTAATATCTTCAAGACTCTCCCCGTTGACGACGCCTGCAACTGAGGTGGCTGAGCCTGTCTCCCTGGTGGAGGCACTTTTCTGATCCAGCTGCTGCTGCTGCTGCCTCCGCTGGTACTTGAGCATCTCAGGGTTCTCAATAACAGCTGTGGAGAGCTGGGCCTCAGTCATGATGGCCAGGCTCTTGCCATAGGTGGACTGGTGAATGCGGCTCTGGGGAAGCAAAGAGAAGCACAACATGCCAGTGTAAGCACCAGCATGGCCAATGTCGCCCACAAGTGGGCAAACTAGAGCAGAGCTCTCCTGGCTCTGAGTGGAGAAGGGACCCAAGGCCAGCTTCCCATTGCCTCCCACCCTATTCTGCTTGTCCCTCATTTGACAGCTCTGTTGATGTCTCATGCCCTCCCTTGATGTTTATGGCCTTCCTTGTATCTGTAGCTGGGATGACAGTAAATGAGACAGCCAAGAAGACAACACCTGCCCCACAGTCTGGTGCAGAAAACATGACAATCCACAGTGTCCACAGTGTTTCAATGGAAAGGAAGACACTCAAGTTGCTAACTTAAGGCTCTTAAATCACTCCTAGGACCCAAATGCATTTGGGAATCAGATCCTAGAACAAGAGTCTACTTTCACCGCTCATCTGCAGCCATCAGTCCTGTGGATGGAGGTCCCCATGGGTCTGCTTACAGTGTCTCTAGAGTATGGGAAAGCCTGGAATAGCAGAGCTGGGGAGCCTCCTTTACCACCACCCCTCATAATATGTCATCATCCTCGCCTCCTCCTAGGCGCTTGTAGTCTTGGGCCCTAACAAGCTAGGCAGGAGCCCCATGAGAGCAGAGATGGTATCCCCAGCACACTGCAGTGACTGCTGTGCATGAAAGTGCATGAGGAACAGACGTCCATGGGATGTGCAAATGTCCAACGTGGGATTCTGCCCAAGAACAGGGACTGTTCTTGGTTAAGAGGATATCTGCTTTACAACAGAGCATGGGTTGAAAGGCAGTGTTCCAAGAGAGGTGCCTTGGGACTCACTCCTGCAGGACTTGATGTGTCCCGGAACCTCCTTCCCTTGCCATCTTGGCTCCTGCCCTTCTCTCCTGAGTCTATCCCCTGCAATCTCGAGGCAGAATTCAATGTTTGCCAGGGCATCCCTAGTGTTCCCGAAACATGGGGTCCCAGTCTGTGACTTGAGAAATGTAAATGCAGTCAGCAAGGCAGACCTCTGCCCCAAAGGGGTTCACATTTTAGTGAGAGGTCACACTGTAGGTTAACAGGAAGCTTCCACCAGCAAGTAAGGTCATATGGGAGAGCTGCCAGACTGCTCTAGGTTTTCACAGAACTCCCTTCAGACACATACATACATCCCACCAAGTGGCAGCAGGTTTCTAAGCCTATGGTGGGTGAAGCAGGGCTTTTTGCAAAGCTTGGCAGAAGGGCACGGAGACCCCATCACCCCCGCAGAGCACAGAGGGGAGGTGGCCTGGCCCAGAGGCAGTAGGCCTGGTTCACTCTTCTAACCTAAGGTTCACGTACAGACTGGGCAAAGGGCCATGCTATTTTCTGAGGCTTAGTTTCCATATCCACAAAATGGATGAGCTCTGCCTTGAAGGGTTTTGGGCAATTTAAATGAAATTGTATGTGCAAAACACATTTCCAGAGCCTGGCATCCGATACGTGCTAAGAAATGACCAATATTACTACCATGAAGGGGAAAGTGATGTTGGCAAAGGCCTTTGAGGAGTCACTTCAGCTCTTTCTCAGGGCAAAAACTTCCCAGTAGATGGCCTATTATCAGCTCAAGAAGAGATGCCCAAAATAGTTCTACTCTTAACTCCAGGACTTATTTCTAAAATGAACAGAGACTCGTTTTTAAATTAATCTATGCTGTAAAGAAGGATTACAACCTATAAAAGACGAATATCCCATTACATGTTAAGAAATGACGCTTCTATGTATCCCACAAGAAGAGGGTGTAGTAGGGGTCTCTCAGAGCTACTGTAGCTATGGCCCCAAAGCGCCCAGCAGCACAAGGGCTATCAGCCTACCTTCTCCTCCTCGCTTAGGGGATCTCCAAGCTCATCCTGGGAGAAGTCAAGGAATGCCACAGAGCCATCCATGGAGCACACCAAGATGCCAAGCCCATTCAGAGTCCTGAAAGACACGGTCATCAGCAGCCTGGTAGCAAGAGCCCCAGGCAGACACACGTCGCAGGAGCTGGCCTGTGAGGATGGTGGACCATGCTTCTAGGGAGATGCTGGCAACTCCTAGTTCCCTTCTGTGGCCTGAGGGTGGTGGGGGGGAGGGTGACAACTGCATCCCACAGGGCCCTGGTGTTCTTTAGTTCTAAGCAGGTATACAAAGTATCCCTTACCATATGTTCTGTAAGAATTTTCAATTTTATTTATCTTAGTTTTGAAACCATTAAGAAAAAAAACACAACTTGACAAAATATCCATACAAGTCAGGTCATTGAGAAGCAAAAGGTGTGCTTCTCACTTTGTTTCATGCAAAGACGGAGTAAAGTGGAGCCTACTAGGATCACATCATTCTCTTTGTCTTATACAAATCCTGAGAAGGCATTTTCCAGTAGCAAATCCTACACAGGCAGGACATTCTCACAGCAACAGGCAAACCATTGCCAGTTCCCGAATCACAGGCAAACAGCACTCTTAGTCTGTGCCACTGTGACACCTGGGGATGGGCCACTGGTCGGCCACCTGACCCTAGTCACATCCAGGAGGCCTCATGTTCCAATGTGTGGTTTCTGCTTTCTTTCTAACCTATTCCCATAAGTAAAATACACCTTACCAGGAAATGTCCATGATGGATTTGTCAAACAGTTCATGGATGACCACCAGCGGCCGTTTCAGACATGTGAGCTGGAAAGAAAGACACAGCCAAGGTTAATGAAATTACTCAAATCCGCTTTTGCATTCAGCTCAGTTAACATAACCAGCCTAGAAGCCTTGGTCAGAGTGGCTGCTGATATTTAAGGCATCTTCAACTCTACTCAAACTGTTGCTGTGGAGACCCCAAACTATGGGAACCAAAGCTTGCCAAAAAAGTTCATCCTACCTAGAGTGGAGCCTGCCTCCAGGGCTTTCTTTGGTCTGACGGGGAGACACCTTTAGACACAGACAAGCAGCAATGGAGAAGGCAGAGCGGGAGTGGGTTTTTGAAGGGCTATGGTCTGAGCAGAGGGACAGTCCCAGTGTGGCCCTCTGAGAGGGTCTATGGAACAGGAAACAGGATGCCAAAGCCTAGATAGGGGGTGAGGCACCCTGAGAGAGAATACAACACATCTTCCCTGGGCCCAAGGGACTCTGGTACACATTTAGCCAAGGCTCATTCTACGCTATGTGCAGGTAATACAGAAATACACACTTGGGCCCTTAATTTAGGCACAGTTACCTACTATTAACACTTTGATGAATTATTTCCTTCTATTTTATGCAAATATTTATTTTATTTTTCAAAGTAAGGCACATGGTTGTGGCTGCTTTTTCATTTAACGCACAGTAAGTATGTCATTAAATAGCCTATAAAAGTCTCTTTTGGATGACTGCATAACATGCACTGTGTGCATATTCTCTATCAAGTCACCCGATTGCTGGCATGCACGCTGACTCCACGTTCCCACAACTATGGTAGGCTCTTTCTCTCATGCACAAGTGCCTGGCTACCCTGCTGGCTGGCCCTGAGCTGCAGGATGGTGGGCAGGTAAGAAACACACTTCCTCAAGGGATCGTGGGCTCCCTTAGGTGCTGCTGCAGCTTCTGGGAGGCTGTGCTGCTGAGTGTCCCAATGCAGCCTGAGAGTGCCATGTGGGGAAGGAGAAGCTGTGTCCACTCTAGTGCTGGAGAGGGGTCTAGAGTCTGAGCTATCTGGAACCCACATTAAGAATCTTGCTTCCACCCTAATTCCACTTCTAGAAAAAGCTGCCTTGTACCTCCTCCCATAAATATGCCTACAGACCCTCAGAAATCTGTAGGCTGTGTGACTGCCTGACCTGAGCATTCTAAGAAATATGGGTACCACAGTCAGTGATGTTTTGGTTGCAGCCCCACAAACAGGGCCTCAGGCTGGGAGGAGACAGGGAAGGTGCCCTGAACGGCTCTCTGTGGTACTGTGGTTCAGGTTCCAGAATGGGTGTTAAGTGAATACTGGGCCTAAAAAAAAAAAATCACAACACACACAGTAATAGATTTCTGTACAACAAACTGTAATAAATGCAGCCAGAGGATAACCTTCAAAACCAGAACTTCAAACTTGCTCAGCTTATAGGGACACTTTTTTACAAAGTGAAAAAAAAATTAATGTGTGTGCACTTTGCTTTATCAAACTTTAAATACATTGGCACGTCGACACTCAGCAGCAAGGCTGCTTCCTGCACTGCATGCGGAGGTGTCTCTCACCATATAGTCAGGTCACAGTACACCAGCTCCTGGCAGTGAGAAAATTAACCCTTCAGGAGCCCTCACTTAGAAACCGCCACAATACTTACCCTTGGGTTCTCACTCACCAACTACCCTTGAATAACTCTGCTGAGAACCTGTTCTGTGGAGGGCACTGAGTTAGGACGGTGAGGGGAACAATGAAGACACATCGGGCTGGGTGTGGGGGCTCATACCTGTAATCCCAGCACTTTGGTAGGCTAAGGTGGCGGATCACCTGAGGTCAGAAGTTTGTGACCAGCCTGGCCAACATGGTGAAACCCCGTCTCTACTAAACCTACAAAAAAATTAGCCGGGTGTAGTGGTCTGTAATCCCAGTGCCACTGCACTCCAACCAGCCTGCTGGGCGATAGAGGGAGACTCCATCTCAAAAAAAAAAAAAGAAGGTGAAGACACACATTGCATCATCTCAGGGGCTCCTGCAAGTAAGGACTACCAGGCTCACAACCTTACCCGTCACAGTATCGCCCAGGGGTGAAATGGACTAATAAATGGAGGTATCAGCTGTCTGTGTATCTTTTTTTGTGTGTGGACATAAGCACTCATCTGTCTTGGTTATATGCCTAGGAGTGGAAGTGCTCTAGGTCATATGCTTAGCTGTGGTAGAAACTGCCAAACACGGTTCCCAAGTGCTCATGCCAGCATCAACACCTGTCAGTAATATATCACTTCCAGCTTATCATGTCCTTGCCAACACTTGGTTCTATCTTTTAACTTTAGCATACTACTCCTAGGTATGTACTCACAAATAAATGAAAACATATGTCCACATAAAGACTTACACAAGAATATTCATATCAGCTTTAGTCGTAATATCTCAAAACTGAAACAATCTTAATGTCCATCAATAGGAGAATGTATAAACAAACTGTGGTGCATTCACACAGTGGAATGCTACACAGAAATTATAAGAAATAAAATACTGTTAAGTGTAGCAACATACAGGAATCTCAAAAACACTATGTCAAGCAAAAGAAGTGAAGACACAAAGAAGCAAGCAACACACAACTGCATTTATATGAAGTTCAAGAGCAGGCAAAACTCATTAGTATCTGTTATACTGTCAGCATACTGTTATACTGCCAGTATCTGCCATTAGAGTGGTTGCTTTGATGGTGAGGGAGGTCTTGACTCGGGAGGGACAAAGGGACAAAAAGGAGTACTCTAGGCAGTAATGACGCTGGTGTGTAAACATGTATGACAACTCACCAAGCTGTACCTTTCAGGCGAATACACTTTATATAAAGATTTTTCTAATAGGAAGGAAGCCCAACATGCTGCCCATGGCACTGACCACTGAGGGTGCTGCCTGAGTCTGGACACAAGAGCTGGTCTAGGTAGGGGTCAAGGTGCCCTCTCCTGGCTGAGCACAGACCCAGTCTTTAACACTTCCTTCTGGGAGAGCAGGAGAGCCTGTGAGCTTCCAAGGAGGGGCTGACCCCAGGTGCAGAGTAGAAGGTACACTCTGAGCATTACCCAAAGCAGGTCTCTCTTTCCACCACTCACTACTTCCCCAACCTATACCTCACATTCTGCAACAAAAGCTTAGGGTGGCAGGCTCACCCAGACAGAAAGCGAGCGGTCCTTGCTGCCAACAGCGCAGCAGCAGTATGGGCAGCTGGGCTTCGTAGAACTCCCATTCTTCTGCTTCTTTTTGAAGATTTTTGGGTTGAATTTCTAAAGCCAAATAACAAATGTTAAAAATAATTGATCAAGCATCAGGCATGTCCCCTGTGCCCAAGTCCCAGCCCGCTGAAGGGAGTCTCCCACAGACATTCTCTGAGCCCAGGCACTGAGCATGCATCTTCCTGACCAACAATGAGGCATCTGGCTGATGATGGAAAGGAGGCTTAGGGAGGTCAGAAAGTATGTGCAGAGGCATCAAATGAGTAAGCTGGGAAATGCAGATGTAAAACCAGCACTACCAAACTCTCCCCATTTCTGCAGCCTGCCAAGTAGAGGGGATGGATAACTATTGAAACTAGCCTTCTCAATTCCCTCTGGCCTGGCAGGGACATCCCTAGGACCTGTGGAAAAGGTGAGCCTCCAAGGGTGCTTCAGAAACACAGACCTGCTCATTCCCTATCTCCTAAGAGAGGCCAAGGGAATGTGCAGGAAGGGTGTGAACCTCTGAATTCCTTCTTGACTCACTGCAATTGTTGTTTGGTCATAACTGTCTAGCAGAGATCCACTCAGTCAGAGTCATTTGTGATCTCCCTGGGCCAGAGACCAAGGTTACATGACACAAAGGTGCTTCATTGGCTGCTTAGACCAGGGAGCTACCTCCAGAATAACTTCTCTTTTTTTTTGGAAAGGATGGAAGCAAACACTGAGCTCCCAGCCACCTTCCTGGATTTAAAGGGGATGGGTGCTCTGGGAATCCCCAACCTAGGGAAACTGAGGGCAGAGGAAAGAGGGTTCTGGAAAGCCTGATGTCAGGTAGTCTAGAGATATTTTAATTCCAGAGGGCAGGCAAGAATGACCAGGGGTGCACAGAGACTGGAGAAGATGGAACCCAGAGGCATGTCCCCAGGATTATAGTCTCTAGCACCAGGAGGCTGCAGGGTCTTTCAAGCTCTGTGAGCCAAAGGCAGGGGTCATGATCTCCCAGAACAGCTCTAAAGTGGTTGTGAGGACTGCATGGGAGAATCATGTAGAGCACTAACCACGAAGCAGTGATTTCCAAAGACTTTAGCAACAAAATTCTGGTTCAAACAAAACCCTACATGGACTCCAAAACAAAAAAATTAAATAAGTAATACTTTACTCACACAAAATTTATATTTTAAGGTACACTATATGATGCTTATTATCTGTTTAAACAAAGGCAAAAATAAGCCCGTTTTCATCAGGGTCTCAGATGATCCTTCACTTTTATCAACGTTAGCCCACCAATCTGTTTATTTATTGGCTACCCAGTGTTAAGAAAGTCCTGGTTCTCACAGATTATTTGCAACTGCTTAACGGCTTGCCTGGGGCTCTATCAGAACGCTCTTTAATTAAATTAATGGAGAAGCATAAGAGGAGTGTCCAGACACCTCTCCTGCCTAAGGACCCACAGCAGTTCACGCCTCTGAGCTCTTCAGCTGCTGCAGCAAGATCTGGCAGCAGCTCCTAACTTAGTGATCCATGGCACAGCCTTGCACCTGTGGTTGATGCTGCCAGGTGTAGGGACAAGCACAGTGCTTGGTGGGTGCACCAGAATCACACCTGTATTCACTGGAGCCAGGTGAGGGGGGCACTGTGCTTGGGCACCCATGAGCATACCTGAGTATGTAAAAGGCTGATGAGGAGCTACAATGTTCCTGGCCCAAGACTGATTTTGTTGATGTTCGCCATGTTAAAGTTTGCCAATAAATCAACCAAGTACATACTCTTACTATCTGAAATTAGTTTTAAAATATTTAAGCATAACTACTTAAAATAAATCAAGAATTAATATGTGCTGAATCTTGGAGCCCATCCCCCTCAGTTCCCCGGGCACTCACCACGACAGTCACAGCTTTCCGGTGCCCTACAAAGTCCATGTTGGTCTTCCATCCCTCCCGTTCAATGATCTGGGCAGTGGGGCCTGAGTTGTTCATGGCATGGGCAGATACCAGGTAATGCCCATCAGGTGACCAGCTGAGCCGCAACACATGTGTCGTTCCTCCACACTGAAAAAAGCATCTGCACTTGAAAGGAGCTCAAGGCCACCTCTGTGACCAAAACTCTGGCCTCAAGGATAAAGTCCAACTTCAATTTATAAATGTGTGATGGTGGAGCATTCATCCCAAGCTTCTGGCTACACTGACAGCTTCCATCTCTCCAGATGGCCCAACCAAAAAGGGCTCTGTGAAATGAATTTGGAAACTGCAGCATCCTACACTCCCCCAGAGAAGCTGAACAAAGAAATATAGTTCAGAAGTATAGGCCCTGAGGAGCTCTGCAAGAAGGCTACCTGTCTGAACCATAGCCTCTGTGTGGGCCAAATCTCTCTGGTCACTAACCCAATTCTTCTGTACAGCACCTGTTAACCTACCATATGGCATCTGCACAGCATCCTCAAGGTATACTGTGGTGGAGAAAAAGCCCTTTTAACCCAGGAGCCTGGCAGAAGCCTGTGACTGTAATAGCTGATGACCGAGGCACCACCTATTATCTTGAGCCTGTTGCTTCACCCGAAGGGTAGTGAGGACACCCACAAGGGCAAAGAGGTTTGTAATGTCCTCATAAACTGCAAAAGGAACAGTAGAGAGGCACTGTTCCCCCGACCTGGACTGGGGGCTGAGGCAGGGCATCCTTTCACATTATTCCTCCTGCAAAATGAGATGACATGGATCTAGAGCCAGCTTCCTGAAGCTCAAGGTGGACCCAGGGCAGCTCTAAAGACTTAAGGGTTAAGATCATGACCTCACAGCTCTAGAGCAGGACAGGACAAAGCAGGGCCTGAGTGTAGTGAAATCACCCACCTCAGCTCCCAGCCTTAGGCCATAGATCCACCCCTACCTTGAAAGATGCGCCCACCCAGCCGAGGCTGAAGATTACTGCCAGCTCCTGCTGGTACTCAAGACACTCCTAAAGCCGTCCCTAGGAGTCCAGCTTATAGGACCCCACTGCCTGGCAGTCAGCCCTGAGGAACTCCAGAAGGAGCAAAAGTTCCTTAGGGCAAGACTAAGTAAGGTAAAAACCAGTACATACCTAGCCCAGGAGCTGGTGTCATGCAGGGAGAACTGAACACATGACTATCACTTTACTTTTGCAGCCATCCTGACCAGTGGACAAATGCCTGCTCTTCCTGCAAACTTTCACTTATGTGTCCCTTGTTCTGTGAAGTCTTCCCTGATGCACTCACCACTCCTGGGCTGTTTCTGCACTCCGGACAACTCCATCATCATATAACTGATGGGAATGCCTGTCTTTCCTTGGGGCTTTAAGCTTCAAGAGGAAAGACTCCATCTCAATCTACTTTTATTTCCCTGTGTCCAGTATTGCCTTCTACACAGTAGACACTTAATAAATGTCTAATGAGCAATGGTGATCTTGAACTCTCATTCCATTTGAAATCAGAACTCAAAGGAAGAGAGAGTAAAATACTACAGATGCTACAGTCTGATCTCCAAACATGTGCAAACTGTACTGCTAACTCCAGCCAGGAAAGAAGGCCCCTGAACTACAGGGTGCATATCAACAACACAGCACAGTCAGGAATGGCCCGAGGGACTCTTCCATCCTGCCTCGGCCTCCAACAAGCTGCTCTGCAGGAGGCTCAGTGTAAACTCTACACTCTAAGAAGCAGTTTAATCCATGTCTGTGGCAGTGAGCTGGGTGACAGAATGATGTGGAGACATCTCTATGGTTCACTTCAACTTTAAAACTATAAATCCAAGCCAGGCACAGTGGCTGATGTCTGTAATTCCAGCACTTTGGGAGGCTGAGGCGGGCAGATCACCTGAGGTCAAAAGTTCGAGACCAGCCTGGCCAACGTGGTGAAACCCCATCTCTACTAAAAATACAAAAATTAGGTGGGCGTGGTGGTGGGCGCCTGTAGTCCCAGCTACTCGGGAGGTTGAGACAGGAGAATTGCTTGAACCTGGGAGGTGGAGGTTGCAGTGAGCTGAGATTGTGCCATTGCACTCCAGCCTGGGTAACAAAAGAGAAACTCCATCTAAAAAAAAGAAACCCAAAAACTATAAATCCTTTCATTTCAAAGTCGGAAATTAAATGGCATCTCAGAAATGAAGGATTTTGTATTATCTGACTTTTAGGGCCAGAGTCCCACCCAAGAGAGCCTCAGTGAATCTGCTCAGACCCCCGGACTCTGTGCATTCCTCATGTGGCCTGGCCCATGGCCAGCTCCCTCTCTGCACAAAGAAGTCAGAAAGGGGCTGGGGCAGCTGCTAGGGCTCAGCTCCCTGAGCTGTTCCCACTTACCTCATCAAAAGGCTTGGTGATGCTGGTCTCCAGCTGCCAATCCAGTGTCCTCCACACCTTTAGGCTGCGGTCATCAGCTTGAGAGGCTATGTATTTACCAACAGGGTCCCACGTCAACCCTTTGACCAAGCCAGAATGACCTCTCAGAGTAGCTAGAATTTCTGTGAAGAAAAAAGGAATGTGGAGAGGCGTCATCTGGGGAAAACATAACCTGCAATCTATGAGCCATAGGATAGATATCCAAGACAGCAGACCCAGCAGTCTGCCCTGACCAGCCCCATGCCAGGTAGAAGCAGAAGTGCCTCCTCATTTGATCTCCACCAAGGCAAAAGTCAACTGAAGAAATGACTACATTAAGAAGGCAGGCACCAAAAGGCCAGTTCTAATCTAGGTCTTGTCTGTAGCTAGCAGCCCTGCCTGTGGCTGCCCTTCCTGAGCTGTGACACCAGCACTTCTGACATTAGCCTCCCTGGCAGCTCCCTGATAAGGAGGAGGCCTACTAGCTCAAAGGGGCAGACAGTGGCTGAGTCTTTTGTAAATCATGGCTGAAGACACAGGTGTGTACCATGGCACCCCATACAGATCTGTAATCCAAATGCTACTCCAGACTCTAAAGTTGCCCTCTCCATGGCCAGACTGAGTATCTCCACACATGCTGGTGGTTTTCAAAGAGTTAAAATGACCCGGATCAATGAGGAAAGCATTCTTCAAATACAGAGCAGAAATATGAGAATTTTACTAGTTATAAACTGCAGCACTGTGCCAGGTTATGCCATTTGTTGTGACTTTAAACACAATAAATAAGAAAAATCGGGCCGGGCGCGGTGGCTCACGCCTGTAATCCCAGCACTTTGGGAGGCCGAGGCAGGTGGATCACAAGGTCAAGAGATCGAGACCATCCTGGTCAACATGGTGAAACCCCGTCTCTACTAAAAATACAAAAAATCAGCTGGGCATGGTGG